CGCCGCTGCCTGGGCAGCCGCCTGCGCCGCTGCCTGCGCCTTCGCCGCATTTTGAAGCTGTTCCTGGACCAGTTTCGTGGGAGGCATGGGCTTCATCGGCGTTCCGCAGGCTGTAAACGAGAAAGGTTTGAACGGGCGTTGAAATCGACCACTCTTCCGTAACTCTCAGAGTTTATTATATAGTCCGAAAGCTCGCTTTTACAGAATGTTAAACTTATCTCTCTCTCTCTCTCTCTCTCTTTCTCTCTCAACGAACCGTTAACGAACATCTTTCACTCGTTCGTTCGAATTCACATTTCACACTCAAACACGCGTTTCTTTGCTTCTATTCTATTGGGGCAGCAAGCATTCCAGCCAGAGCTCCCAAACTATGTCGTGTTTTTTTGGTTTTTTTTCTTTTTAGTAAAGTAACAAAACATCTATATTGACCTGAGTTAAACTTACGAGGCAGGCCACCGTAGCCGCCGGTCCTCATCAGCTTCTCAGGGGCGATCTTGTATTGGCTGGCCACCAATTTGTGAACCGCGTTGTCGTCCTCGAGGAACATCTTCATCCTGATGAAAGGCTCGCGGCCCTTCTGCGTCAGCATGTGCCACGGTTTGGGACGCGCCAACAGGTCGGAGACGGATCCTTGAGACAAGCCCAACACGGATTCGCCGAACAAACGTTGGGAGATGGAATACTGAGACAATTGTTCCTTCACCTGCGAAAATCAATTGAGATCGTTTCGAAAAATACGATACAATATCGCAACGATCGCGAGAGGTAGAACGAGCGAGACACGACGCCATTTCGACGGTAAGGAAGGATAGGTTAAGTCGAAGCGACAGTTGCGCCACTTACTCTCTTAACTATATCCTCCGTATTCAAGTTATTGTACAGGTCGAACTGTTGTTGAGTGATGGGTGGAAGTACCGCTTTCAGCGGCCTCTGGTTGGCCGTGTGGTGAGTAGGCGTGGACGGTTGACTGATCAGACTATTCGTGATGGAGGCCATCCTCTGAAGAGGGCTAGCCGCCGCTGCACTCGAAAACTCCTCGCTAGGTGTCATAGCCGGTGGAAGTATCGAGTTGCCGAGAGGCGAACTCGCGCTGGATCCACCTGGCGTCGACTGTGGCGCCGTTGAAGCTTCCTGTTTCGGCCTCACCAGCGAGAAAGCGCTACCCGCGTGTCTCATCGCTTCCTCCATCTTCTCCTTCTCCTCCTCCGTAACACCGTTTATCATCTTTCCCCTCGGATCTTGCACCTTGCCCAGGCTCAGATCTTGGACGCCTCCGCCGTTCGTCGCCAGGTGGTGCTGCTGAAGCGCTTGCTGCTGAAGCGCCAACAGGCCGGGCAGCCCGGCCAATCCCGGCAGTCCGCTGAGCGAAGGGCTCTGACCCGGTGTGGCGTTCAGTTTCTGCATTTCACGGTGGTACGCGCCAAGTGCCAGCCGGAAATCCTCCTGCGTGCCGCTGAAAAAGTGCGTGAACATCGCGCCACTATTAATCGAGGTCACTTGCTGTCCTCAATAATGATCAATCGTAACGAGATCCCCCGTTAACTACAATGGGGAGAGTGGATGTAATACGAGCTTTCGGCCAAAAAAAGCCCGTGTTTACACCTGACATTTTCGTGTTAAGTAACGAAACAGATATAGCGGCATATTAATTTTAGCCGCGCACGTCACTCCGTCGTTCGGCATAGTTCTCTCCGCGTGTTGTTGCGCCCGGCCGCGATCCACCGTGACTCACATGATCTATGGGATGCGCTATCGGTTTCAGGATGTAGAGAGAGAGATGCGTGCCTGAACCGTGTGTATCGATCAGTCTTTGAACGTGCGTTCTTTTTTTTTTTTTTTTTTTTTTTTTTGACAAAGCACGTCTCGCTTTGTTAATTTGCAAATTTTCGCTTCGCGCAAACGCGGCTTTCTCTCTTCTACTCGCCTCTCTTCTTCCATTCTCTATCCTTCTCGATTAGAAGGGATTTCGTTTATTACGCTGACGCGACACGGGTAACTCGATGATGCAGGAGAGTCATACTCTTGGCACGATGAATATTTACGTTTTGGGAAGGGGATAAACTATTAAAATACGATGATACGATGATCTTTTCGTGTTTCGCGGAGAGATCTCTTTCTGTTGAATTGTGCCGATAAATTTTCTTTCCGCGCGACAGACAATATTTATCGAATGCACGACCGTGACGAAACGGAATTAAACCGGAATTTTCGATCGAAACGAAAATTACGCATGCTTTTGACAATTAAT